AGGGGAAAAATAGTTATTATGATAAGTTAAAAATCTAAATCAACAGGCAGATATAAATTAGAGACATTCTGTAGGGGAAGAGGAGGGGCAAGGATTAAAACAGGGGTGGGAAGAGCACAAGAGACTATGGTGATGGCACACAGGTGAATTGGTGGAAATTTCACAGGGACTACACCAGAGAGGAGAAAGCATACATTGTACAAAATGAAGAGTGATGTAAGAAAAAATATGAAAAAAGTCATATAACATATATGTTATATATTAATAACATAACTTATACATGTTATTAACATAACATATATAAGTTATATGACTTTTTTGTTATATTAATAACATATATAAGTTATGTATTTATATACAAGTTATATATTTTATATATATATGTTATATATTTAAATTAAACAGATCTTTTTTTAAAAAAGATTATGTATACAGAACTGGGGTACAGGCCAGAGGTACGGGGTGGGGGTGGGGGGCTAGGGTGAGAGGATTCACCAGAGACAGAGCAGGGAACAGAACAGGCAGACTGACTGAAATACACAGCTGAGGGGAGCAGCGGGCTGGTCAGGAGAGGTCTGCTGCAACATGTGGGTCACCTCCCTGGCTGGGGATTGAACTCGTGCTGTAGTGGCTGTGGATAGCTTCACAGTTCTGTGCCTTAACCCCATGTGCCACCAGGGAGGGCCCAAAAGTTAAGCAGATCTAAAAAAAAATAAGCTGTCATGAGGATAAAATGAGATGATGCTAGCACCTCTCACATGATAAGGCCTTACCGCTAGTAATGGCTATTATCTCGTTCTGAAATAATTGCTGTTATCTCTGTTATCCTCATGCCAGGTTCCCAGCTGGCTGCTGGGGCTCCGAGATATGGAAGATGTGGTAGGCCTTCAGGAAACATTTGTCCCAACCAGATTTGAAACAATAAACGACCAACTTGGTTCTGCATAGAGCACAGATGTCCAGAGGAATCAGGGAAAGCGTCATGGCGAGGGAGACTTTTGGCTGACTTTGAGGACTGGAATGTTATGGCAGGGAGCTGTAGAGGCACAGAAAAGGAAAGACAAAGCTGTTGGGAGAAAAGACCCAGCGACAGCTCTGGAGAACAAGTGTGAGCCAGAAGTAAAAGGAGGGGAGTTGTAGGTTGCTCCGGAATGTCTTCTGCACCGTGCAGACAGCAAACCATGCGGGCAGTCACCTGAGGAACACATCTTCAGGTTACCTTCGGTGGCTCCATAGTCTAGAGTCCTCACTGGTGCAGCAGGGTGGAGTGGGGGGTTGAGGTGATGTTCAAAGTCCACATGGTGACCCCTCCAACACTCTAGGACAGCTGCACTGAACACCTGTAATGAATGATCACCACAATCTCGGCTGTCCCCTTAATACTAGAGTACTTGATACCTGCCTATTGCTCTAAGCACTGTACCTGTTTAATGTGATTAACTGTCACAGGGGTCATGTGAATTGGCCACTAATATTATCCCACTGGTGTATTTGTGGAAACAGACACACAAAGTCAAACAAGTCACCCAGCTCACACAGACAGCAGGGGGAATAAGAACACAAGTTTGGATCCAGGCGACAGGGAGGAAAACCTACAAAATAACTACAGCACCATCCACTTCCCTGACAACACGCTGCCCTTTCTCTACCTTTGCACATCAAACCAGGTCACTCAGCACCTCCTCTGCCACACCTTTCCTGTCCATCCCTTTTCCTCCCAGTCTTTTACCCAACTACGGACCAGCCTTGTCCCCTTGAAGAACTTGTGTTATGACAAGGAATAGACCTAAATCAAAATCATTACCTTTCTGCCTTTTTACTGTATAGTACCAACACTCATGAAAAATATATACATCCACACACCCATGTATTTTTTTTTTACCAAACTTTATTCTTCAGCATAGATACAGTTATTTCAGTACCATTTATTAAAAAAAAAAATACTATTATTCCTACAAATATGTTATTCTGCCCTGGAATTTGTCCACTTTATCTAGCTTATTAATTTCTTTCTTGTGAAATTGTTCATAGCATTCTTTTATAATTATTTCTAGTTCTCTAGATTGGTCATAATTACTTTCAATTCAAATTTTTGTTATTTTCAACTACTCTTTCTCTCTCTCTCTCTCTCTTTTTCCCCCAATACAATTATTTGTATAGGTTCCATAGGAATGATCTCTTTGTGACTGGACATAACTGTGAAAAATATTAGCTAATCAAGGCATTGCAGGAATGCTGCATTTGTTGATGCTATGCATACAATCAGATATGACCTGGCACTTTTTTATTTTTTAATTTTGAAAATATTTTATTTTTACATCATTTTGTGTCTTTTTCCATCTCAGTTGTAATCCCTGTGGGCTTCCCATCACCAAATCACCCGTGTGCCATCACCATAGTCCATTGTACTTCCCTCCCCCCCACCATTTTTGATCCCATTCCCCACTCCACTCCCATAAAATGTCTCTGGTATATAGCTGTTCATAGTGGTTGTACTAGTTTGCATTCCCACCAGCAGTGCAGGAGAGTTCCTTTTTCTCCACATCCTCACCAACATTTGTTATTGCTAGTTGTTTTAAGATGTGCCATTCTCACTGGTGTGAGGTGTTATCTCATTGTGGTTTTAATTTGCATCTCCCTTATTACAAGTGATGTTGAAGATTTTTTCATAGGCTTGTTGGCCATCTGCAATTCCTCTTTGGAGAGTGTCTTTTTAGTTCTGCCATTTTTTGATGGGGTTGTTTATTTTTGTTGAGTTTCATCAGTTCTTTGCATGTCTTTGTGATCAGTCCTTTATCACTCATTTTGTGTGAGAAAATTTTTTTCCCAATCAGTGGAATGTCTGTTTGTCTTTTGTAATGTCTCTTTTGTTGTACAGAACCTCTTTAACTTGATATAGTCCCATCTATTTATCTTTGCCTTCACTATTGTGGCGTTGGGTGCTCTGTCTTTAAAGATGTCGCTGAAGTGTATGTCGAGTAGTGTTTTGCCCATCTTTGCTTCCAGATATTTTATGGTTTCTAGTCTTATGTCTAGGTCTTTAATCCACTTTGAGTTGATTTTTGTGTATGGTGCAAGGTAGTGATCTAGTTTCATTTTTTGGCATGTAGCTTCCCAGTACCATTTGTTGAACAAACCTTCTTTATTCCATTGTATCTTCTTTGCTCCTTTGTCAAATACTAGCTGCCCATAAACATGTGGGTTTATATCTGGGTTTTCTATTCTAATCAACTGGTCTGTGTGTCTGTTCTTGTTCCAGTACCATGCAGTTTTTATTATAATGGCTTTGTAATATAGCTTGAAGTTTGGCATTGTGATGCCTCCGTTCTCTCTTTTTAGTCATGAGAGTTTTGGATGTTTGAGGTCTTCTGTGCTTCCGTATGAATCTCATCAATACTTGTTCTATTTCTTTGAAGAATGTCATTGAGACTTTTATTGGGATAGTGTTAAATCTTTTTATCACTTTTGGCAGGATGGCCATTTTGATGATGTTAATTCTCCTGATCCATGAGCAGGGATGTCTTTCCATTTCATGGTGTTTTCTTGTATTTCCTTTAACAGTGTTTTGTAATTTTCTTTGTAAAGGTCTTTTACCTCTTTTGTTAGGTTGATTCCTAGGTATTTGATTATTTTTGTTTTAAGTGAAAAGGGGATTTTTTTTATTTTTTTTTATTTCTGCTTCTTCTGTTTGTGTATAGGAAGGCTTCTGACTTTTATGTGTTGATTTTATATTCTGCTACCTACTAAACTGGTTGATTGTTTTAATTCATTTCTCTATGGACCATGTGTTTTTTTTTAAGGTTTATTTTTTAGTTATTTATGAATATAAGAACTGGGATGCAGCCCATAGGCATAGGAGGTGAAAGGATTTATCAGCGACAGAGTGGGGAGCAGAACAGGCAGATCTACTGAAATACACTGCTGAGGGGAGCAGCGGGAGGGTGAGGAGAGGTCTGCCATGCATGTGGATCAGCTCCCTGGCTGGGGATTGAACTGGTGCTGCAGTGGCTGCGGACAGCTTCTAGTGCTGGGACTTAACCCTTTGTTCCACTAGGGAGACCCCGTCTATAGTCCTTGTTCCCCAGAAGTCCTGGTCATACTGTAAAGAAAATATTGGGCCTGAGTTTCTTAGCATGAATCCTGGAACATGCGTGTTGCAGAATCAGTCTTCCCAGTTTTAGAAAGGCACTATCATGACAGCCAAACTGTCCCGCTCAGACACCTGCTACAGCCACGCTGGTGCCAGCTTAAATCAGAAGGCTCTGGGGTGGATCAGGGTTTATGGCAAGGCAGCAGCAGCTATCCATTTCTGCAGACGTCCTTACAGAGGTGCAACAACTCAGGGGTCAAGATGTGCATCAGGTGGGTACAGGAGCTGCTCTGGCAGTAAAGCCACATGTTCCACAGAGGCTGGTCTGCTGTAAGAACGCCTTAGACACAGCAGCCAGGATCCTCAGAATGTCACCACACTCAGGAAAACCCAACAATTGTGTATTCCCCATGCAGTTACTTCCAGCCTGGTGCAGTTGACCATTCTGGGTGTTTTTTACAATAAGTAGTGTTAACAGTTACATGCATACTTGCCATAATCTCTTTATCTAGTCTCCAGAGTAACAGGGAAATTCACTTATGCTAAGGGGAAAGGCTTTGTTAATCTTTTGCCCACACATGTATATACCATGTATTTGGTAGTGCTTCCAGTGAGGTGTCATCCCGTAATCAGACATTAATATTACTGCTGCAGAAGGCTACCAGTAGGAGCAAGAGTGGAATAAAGACTGAAAATCACAATTCACGTTTTATACTAAATGAGTTTCAAAATAACCTTTCAAGTTTCATAGCTTTGGGTGTTGGTATTGTTTGGAAAGGGGATTCTATAATGCTGTGTATTTCCCTTTTAGGAAACTCCTTCAGACAGGAAAGAAGTGCAAGTCACAGAGCTTACCACTAGAGGGCCCCTGGTTATCACTTTGTCTAATAGAGGTTTTTCCTTACTTCAGCTTGCAGATGCCAGCAAGTTACCCAACTTGAAAGAACTTCTCCAGTCTTCTGGAGACAAAGACACACGGTCCTGGGACCTGGTGAGCTGGATTTTATCCTCAAAGGTCATGACAATCCACAGTACAGGGAAGTCAGAGGTGAGACTTTGATCTGTAGGGTCACAGATGCCTAAGGCTGACAGGCCCTGGTATGTTCCAGAATGGCCTGAGAAGCCTGTTGAAAATGGAGACCTTGCCCCAGGGATTCTGATTCTGTGTCTGCAGGAGGGCCCAGAAACTTGCACACTGGCATTACCAGGCTGTGTTCTCTCTCATACTAGCTGTGTGACCTTGAGCAGGTTACTGGGTACATTTCAGCACCTTTTTTTTGGACTTGGTAAGGTTTATTGGAAAGGACACAGAGTCCATCCCCATCCAGGGTCCTAAGAATGGACCGGAGGGGAAGAGTGGTTCTCAGTGGGCCTTCTTGCTATGCTGGATGCTCTGGGTACATTTCCTCAACTCTAAAGGGATGATAATAATAGACTTGCATCAGGGAACTGGCTGTGAGAGTAGCATGAATTTTCACACCTGAAAGGGCATCTTCAGGGACTCAGTGAATGTCAGGTACCAGCACCCAATGGTTTTCTGACGCTTGATCATACCTCAAGAGACCTTGGTCAACCTGACCAAGGTCAGGTATGTAACATCTGTTACACTGTCCTTCTTTTTTCTCATTTAATCACAATTCAGAGAAAACATTAGAACAGGACTCTCACATCTAGGGATGTCTGTCTGTTTTGGTCAAGTTCACTTGTCAGGAAACAGAGCTGAGCCTGAAGTGTAGAAATTCTCTGGCCCTGATTTCAAAACCCACTTTCACCCATTATTGAATCTCCCCTTCCCTACTTGTAAATTGAGGGGTGCTATGATAAAATGTGTGTCACTCCCAGAACAGTTTCTGGCACAGAACAGACATTGGGACCTTCCAGGCAGAGGCTGGAATGACAAAGGGATCCTTAGAATGGTGTTCATTCTGGAGCAGCCGTAGGGATTTATCTGTGCTGTTCTTCACAAATTAATCAGTTAATCAAACTTAAGAACTTGCACGCTTGTAAGCGTTTGTCAAAGACAAAAACCCTCCTTAAGCAGCATGAAATTTGATATTCAGGATTCTCATGTCTACGGATATCTGTCTGTATTGGATGGTAAAATAACATAAGGAGTTCTGAATCAGTGTTAAGAGACTCAGAGTTCATGCTGGCCTGATAATACCTAGATGATCTCTAGGTGTTGTTACATTGTGATTTATTCAGACCTTGTACAGGCATCAAATAGGAAGGCCATACTGGTACTGTAGGTAAGCAGTGGCTACTTGACTTTTGCTTATAGACTGGTTAAATTCCATTAAAAATGGAATGTTAGACCCAGGATTATCACCTTTTTATTTTGACCAAGTAAGGACATTAACTGACCATATAATATCATTTTATAAAAGGATTTTTAGCCTCAACATGGAAGATAGTCTTGACCTCAGAAAAGGACATTTGAGGGCAACCTGATGTCAGTATAACAATATATGTTACATTGCCCTTCTTTTTCTCATTTAATCACAATTCAGAGAAAACTTTAGAACAGATTTGCTATGGTCTATGTTTTATTCTTTAGAAATTATGGGAATGATGTGATCTCTGCCCTGAGAGGATTATTACCATTTAAGAAGGAGCTTACCTGTCTGTACCAATAAGGCTTCTTCAGAATCTAATGGCTTAAAACAACACTGATTGCCCCTCACGATGCTACGGGTTGGTTGGATGGCACTCTTTGGAGGCGGGGGAGCCTTAGAATAGGGAAAGAACTACTGGATGACCTAGGGTGGCCTTACTTACATGTCCATGGCTTCAGCTGGGCTGGCTGTTCTGGCTGGGGCCCTAATCTAGAGGCCCCCCCTTCCAGGGGCTAGTAGGACTTGTTCATGTGGCAGCAAAGGTTCCCAGCAGCAGACAAGGGAGGACTTGTCCTTAGTTGCTATAGGTTGACCAAGTTCCCATTGACCAAGACAAGTCACCTGGCCAGATCCAGATTTAAGGGGTGGAGATATGGATCTCACCTTTCAATGGACTATTGCTGGAATTCCACCTGCAGACTCACCCTGCAGAAGGGTATATGAACTGGAGTGGGAGGAAGCATTTGTGGCCATTTTTGCAATTGATCATAACTTCCTATCTCTTGAGATTACTGTAGATGGAATGCAGGAAATAGATGTGAAATGTCATGAAAATTCTTGTTTAGAAGAACAAGTCATGATCCTTATCCTGCTGTAAGGAAAAACAAAGGAGAACAATCTTTTTTTTTTTTTCTTTTAAGATTTATTTATGCATACAAGAACTGGGGTACAGGCTAGATGTGCAGCAGTGGGGGCAAATGTGTGTAAGAGGATTCACCAGAGACAGAGTTGGGAACAGAACAAGCAAATTGACTGAAATACACTGCTGATGGGAGTAGCAGGTGCGACAGGAGAAGTCTGCTGTACCATGTGGGTCAGCTCCTTGGCTGGGGACTCATGCTGCAGTGGGACAACAGTCTTGCCCAGGAGAACAATATTGAGCTCTTTGCTTATTTATAAATTGATAACTTTGTTCTCATGAAAGCAGCTGTTCTCTTGATAGAGTCCATAGGAGTTGAGCCCAAGGCTTTAGGGCACCATATTGTCCAACACAATTTACTAGTTTCCTAAATAAAATTGTGGCTTCCTTCATATTTTCAAGTTTGAAAAGATCCAAAAGCTGACTGGTGCTCCTCACACACCTGTCCCGGTGCCGGACTTTCTGTTTGAAATCCAGTATTCTGACCCAGCGAATGCCAAATTTTATGAGACCAAAGGAGAACGAGACCTAATCTATGCCTTCCATGGGAGCCGCCTAGAAAACTTCCATTCCATCATCCACAATGGCCTGCACTGTCACCTGAACAAGGTGAGGATTAAACCTGTGGTGGGGATGGGGGATGTGGGGGGAGATCAGGATGCTGGGAGTGGGGGGGTGGGTATTGCAAGTAGGGGTGGATAGGTTCACTCAGGCCTTGCTGACCACAGCAGACCAGCAGCATCACCTAGGAGCCTGTAAATAACACAGAGCTGTGGGCCCACCTCTAGGCTGTATGAGCCAGAGCCTGCATTTTAGTAAGACCCCTTGTTAGTTTCTACACCATTTACAGCTTGACAAGCATCAGTTTAAATATGGTTCCAACCTTGGGTGCATATTTTGACTCACTTGGAGTGCTTTAAGAATTCCCAGTAACTGGCTATATCCTGGCTAATCAAAACAGAATCTCTGAAAGAAGCCCAGACCTCAGTATACTTGAAAAGTATATCTGATAGAAATCTCACTCTAATGGGATCCCCAGGTGACTCATACTCATAGCGAACTTTGGAAAGCACTTGCCTACTGGATATTCCAACAAAGTCTGCCCTAGGAGAAATCGAGGAATTTGTTAAGAGAGGTCCTTTCCCTCTTTAGTTCCTTCCTTCCCTTTTTTAGGAGTCAAAACAATGCTCACCACCCATCTCTGCTGGCACTTACTTTGCCCCTTAATGATATATCGACAAAGAATCAGACAGGGACCAAAAAAAAGATGACCTTGGCAGCTCTGTGGCCCTGGGAACATCAGTTAAACTCTCTGAGCCTCAGTGTCATCTGTACAATAGGACAGTATGACCCTCTTCCTCTTGAGAGGATTGAAACAGAGCATGAAGGGCTCCCCACTCCCTGGGCACCCAGGTCACAGCATCTCCTGTAGAAGTGTTGTGGAGGGAATCTGGGTAGTTGAATTGCTGCAGACTTTGCCCCTAGTCATGGCAGCATCTGTCTTGTCTGAAGGGCTGGCTCCATCATCCCTGGGCCCAGTTGTGGCTGATACAGCACCGGAGCTGGGGCGACTTTCCCATCACTGCTACATCTGATTAGCGCAGTTGGGTTTTGCTGAGGGTGATGGATTTGTTTACACTGGCTCTGAGCATATTGTCACAGTCAGGCTACTGGAATCCAGAGGGCCTGCCCCCCCCCCCCCACCACAGTTGACCTGGTGGTTAACATCGCCTGTGTATTATATTCTTGTAACACTAAACCTTTATTTCATTGCTCTGGGAGTTTGTTGATTAAGAGTATCTCCTGAGTCCTTTGGTACAGTGGATACTTCTCTGGCCTCTTCTCTCTGGGTTTTTAGTCAAGGACTTGAGAGAGCCTACCTGTCAGCTGAAATTGATATGTTTCCATGGTACCTCTAGTTTCACAGTCTTGGACATCCTTGCTCCCAGCAGCCTTGCTCCCATTTCTCAAGTTCAGTGGAGGACACATCTGTGGCAGACATAGTGGAGGATGGCTGGGGGTCAGGTGAAGTCACATGCAGTGTCCATGTCCGCGTTTGAAACGTGGGAACACTGCGTTGCTTGGCAAAAGCCTTCCTAAAGACCAAGCAATGGCTCGTTTCATTTCTCCTAAGCCTCACTTAACTGCCTCTTTGGAAGCTAGGCCTGTGAGTAAGATGTTTCTCAATTCCTAAGTGTAGGATGTTCAGTGAGCAGTTGGGGGTCCACTCATCATCTTGAAATACTGATACTGTGGATCAGGGAAAACAGTTGAACCTCAACTCAAAGGTTAGATTCCATCCATTGGTAGCAGCTACCTGGGGTGTTGAGTTGAGAAGGGTTCTGAGTCAGTATGAATGAGAGCCATGGAGGACATTTTTATGTTGGCCATCACGATGAATTATTGATGGCATCCACTGGCAAAGGCTGTCTTGCTATGACTGCTGCAGCCTCAACTTGCAGTATTTCACCTAAGATCCTTTCCTTTCACCTGCTTGCTTTCCTGGGAAGTCCCCAAGTTAGCACCTTCCAGCAGGGTGCTGTCTCTTAGATTTTGGACACTTTCTTGGTCAACACTAACACAAGGAATGAAATGTACCCTTTCTTATGTGGTTACAGGTTTTGGCCTGAGACATTCAGTTCTCTTCTTCATAATGACTCAGATTACTTCCCCCCTCAGGTGTGATTCTCTCTCCGTGAATATAAGTATGTGAAGTTGCTCCTACAAGTCATATAAAATGCTTAATACATTCACAAGGGCTTACCGTATGTGCTACAATGTAAGACCCTGTGGTGGGTGGCTACCTGTCTCGTGTGCCAAGACCCCTGCTGGATGCTTTGTGCACATTATCTTATTGACTCCTCCTCCGTCACTTTGTGAAGGAGATTCTGTTGTCAGTGTAGAAACTGAGACTGAGATAGTATATGTAACTTTCCAGCTTGTTAAAGGTACAGGCAGGGCTCAAATTTAGGGCAGTTTGGACTCTGACACCTATGTTTTTCCCTCTCTATCTTGACCACAAGAACTACTAGTTTGCCAAGCTAGTCAACCACTTTCATAATCAGTTAAAATCTTGTCAGGTAAGACTGTGTTTAGTGATAAACCTGAGCTGGTGTCATGGGATTATTTGATTTTATGCCTTTTGCGGGCAAAAGAAATTTTGAAAATGTTATGTACGATTCTATTGGTGATCTATGTCGTCTTGCTGTGCCAGTTTTGCATTCATCACGTCTTCTTTCTCTGTTGGCCTCTGCCATTCCAGACTTCCTTGTTTGGAGAAGGGACCTACCTCACCAGTGACTTGAGCCTGGCCCTCATTTATAGCCCTCACGGCCTTGGGTGGCAGCGCAGCCTCCTGGGCCCCATCCTCAGCTGCGTGGCTGTGTGTGAGGTCATTGACCATCCAGATGTCAAGTGCCAAACCAAGAAGAAGGGTGAGTGAGTGTTTGGCCAGGCACTAGGCTGACACCCTTGCTGATGGCCCAGCTGTTGGGTGAGTCTCCACTGCTGGCTGAGAGATGGATTGATTCCAGAGCAATATGGGGCAGGGGCTGACCTTCAAGGAGTGAGTAGTCTCCTTAGGGATTGAACATATAATAGAATCCGTATCAATTAATAGAGGGCATTGTGTAAGGAGTGGCAAGTGAGGGGCCTGTGAGGTCCACAGAGGCACTTCAGAGAGGTAGTGGTCATGGTAAGGCAGAGTGTGGTGGGGAAGCTTTGGGGAGGAGATGAGCTTAACATATATGAGGCCAGATTGGTCTTGCTCACCCTTGGGTACCTGTTATCAGCAGGGAGCTTGCTGCATGTTTGACATCCAATAATTATTTGTTAAACTGAAGCTAAAGATGTGAGTCCAGACCCTGTCCTTCCAGGCTGCTCCGGTATGTTCCAGAGTCCCTGGAGGACGTGAGGGGCAAATGAGGCCTTGAGGAGTAAATTCCTGCCTGACTCTCCAGGGAGCAAATGACTAGCTGCCTGCCGGCAGTCCTCTCCCTGCCCCACCTCATATGTCCCTTATTAGCATTTCTGCCCTGTGCCCAGTGCTCTTTAGCTTAAAGGTGGAAGGATTTTGAGCTGTCATTCTAGTCTCCAGAACCAGACTTTGGGTTCCACTGAGATAAGGAAAATTGAGAAGACTGTTTCTGTCCACTAACGTAAACCAACTGGAATCTGAGCAACGGCTCAGGTCTGACGCCACTCTTCCAAGCCAGACAGCATGAATATTTGCATTTATAATTCTTAGGAAGCTTGCAAACACTGACATTCAACATCAAAACAAAACTTTGCACTGTCTGCTGTCATGAAGCTTTGACCTTTTTTTCTCCCTTGGGTAAAGCTTTTTCATGTTACTAATAGAACAGTTTTGGATTTTTTAAAACAAGTCTTAGCACAAAGGGTGGAATATAAATGTTTAGAGAGGCTCAGATCCAGACTGGCAAATTCAAAGTGCCTGCTAAGAGACTTGTTTTAGGTCAAGATCTGCTCTGTTCCCACCCTAGAGTATTTTTCTCTTTTTTCCATCAATCTCCTGCTTCCCTATTCTTTCCCCACTCAGTCGAGGCTTTTCCCCTGTCTCTCTTTTCTATTATTTTCTATTCCTGTTTTCCTCCTCCTGTCTGTCTGTCAGTGTTTTTTTAGTGCTGCTTCTTCAGTCTGCTGGAACTTCTCTATTCTCAGGATTAGGAGGCTTGATCTGCTTCTGTTCATATTCATAATTTGCTGCTTTTATATTTGTACTTCTCCACATGTAACGTTGTGCTTTACTCTTCTTATTAGATTCCAAGGGGATAGATCGCAGGAGGGCGAGGATTAAGCACAGTGAAGGGGGAGAGATCCCTCCCAAGTACTTTGTGGTCACCAATAACCAGCTCCTGAGAGTGAAGTACCTGTTGGTGTACTCACAGAAGCAGCCCAAGAGGTAAGGCCGGTCCCTGTGTACAGCCCTGGAGGACAGCTAAAGGCTGTCCCCCAGCCTTAGGCCCCAGGTTCATGTAAGTATCTCAAACACTGACCAAAGAAGTGCTGGCTCCATGAGGATTGGGCCTTCTGGGGAAGAAGAGAGAGGTTCATAAACACAAGTAGTCTGAGGGACTGTATGAGCCAAATTGGCTGCCCCAACCATGAGGCCCCTCAGCTACCGAGCTTCTGATTGCTGCCTGAATACCAGTCAGATGAGAGGCCGGGTGTGACTGGACAGCGGCTGGGAGGGGTGCTGCTGGCTGGCATTTCCCACGTTGGCTGTTGAGCCCCTGCCAGCTCCTCTGGACCTGAGCTGCTTCATCTTCATCTTTAAGATGAGGGTGTTGAGCGCAATAGCAGGCGAAGCTTTCCAGCTCCTGGAACCATGATGGATGCCTCATGTCTCAACATGGTGGTCGTGAGGGGTATGTTCTGGGATCTCCAGGGTAGGGGTCTTTTTGAGCTGTTGTTGCTTTGTTGAAGTCCACGGTAGAGGTTCCCGCAGGGATGAGCAGCATGTGAGTAGGTCGGGACAGGGAAGAGAGTCCCTTCTCATACTCCCTACTCCTGCTTTTACACACCAGTGGTTTGTTTCTGCACTTGAGGATCTCATAGCCCGTTAAAATCTTTTCCCCTCCAAATCCAGGAAATTTGTATAGGATTTTTGAGTCTGGTGGACATTAATTAGCCTCTGGTTTAACATCATCTGGCTCCTTCTACTTGAAAATTTCATTTCTTCCTACTTGTCCCTCGAGTGTCTCTTTAGAGTACTCATGGATGATTTAGATCATCTCCCAGCGGGCCAAAGAGGATTTCCCTAGCTTGAATTGATGTTTGTGCATGTCTAAAAGTGAAAAGACTTTTGTTAAATCACCTGCTGCCATCTGGACAGACACCCCGAGTGAGGTTGTTCTTTAGATACCAAAGTCTTGCTTAAGAAAAGAGGGGTTATAAAAGGTACAAGAAGAGCTGTAAAAGAGAAGATCAGGGTGAGCTCATTGCATAGCTGTCTTTGTACATTTAGAAAATGTTCTGGTGAAAGGCGTGTCGGTGGCGGTGCCAGCAGCCCCAGATTTCTCCAGCAAAGGAGCACGCACGAAACTTCATTTCATGACTCGCTCAGAGGATGAAATTCATCATTTCGTCTTCTTTAAGCCAGAAGTTGTTGCATACACTTAAAAAAAATGTTGTTTTCCTTTTGCCAATGTCGCTCTCTTTTCCCCCTTAAGCAGGGTTTCCAGCCAGCTCTCCTGGTTTTCCAGCCATTGGTTTGCGGTCATGATAACCCTTTATCTACTGCTGCTGCTCATAGTGAGTGTCATCAACTCCTCAGCTTTCCAACACTTTTGGAATCGCGTGAAGAGATAACCTTTCTGGGCCTGGTGTGAGGGCCACCTCGGCCATGTGCCTTATGATCACTTTTCTCCGTCCCCCCTACACCCCACGTCTCACTGGGCTGTGCGTGGGGGTCGGTATGGGACCATTGGATAATTTCGTATGTCGTAAATGTATTGATTGCCTTTGATGATGCTCCAGGCCACATTTTGGTCAGGGGGGCCCACTGGACCCATATTCTTAAGTGTTGTTGGGGAGCCCTCCTGTCTGCTCCTTCTTAAACATTCTTAGGGAGTTGACTTCTCAGCTAGGGCCAAAGGAAAAAGTCCTGCTGCATTTAAAAACAGCATGTCCAAGCTGTCAGTGGTGTGTTTACAATTGCTCCTGGCAGACGCTGGCCCTTTTCTCTAATGCCTTCTGGAAGGCGGAAAATGTGTAGTGGGGACTATAAATCACGAGGCGGTTGCCTTGTTTTGACTTGAGACACCCCAGAGGAACAGTCATGTTTCTCATAAAAATCAGTGGGATTGTTTTTGAATTCCTTCAGCCTTTGAATGTGAGTGCAAAACATTTTCACAGTTTTCGCAAATCAACAGACAGCCTTCTGCTACAGCTGTAACCATCCCCCTCCCCCCAGCATGGATAAGAATGGAGTCAGACACCTGATTTAAAAAAAATGAACTGAACAATGAGCAAGTCAAATTGTCTTTTTCTAAAAATTACCAGCTGATGATTACAGCTGAAACGGAACCAATTGTTTGTTTTCTGATTTTTTTTTAAATGACTATTTGAAAAATTAGTCTTTGTGAGCTGAGGATAAGGGGAAATTTCTAAACCTAGAGCACCATTTGGCCAGCGTCCACCTTCTCTTTCCTGGCTGCATTTGAGAGAAAGAGATTTGAGCCGCAGGCCTGCCTCCTCTTCTTGATCTCACGAAGCTGCCTTGACTGTGGCCCGCCAGCCACAAGTGCCATGCTGCAGGCCTTCTGTGGGCAGGTCGCCTTGGGACAGGCCTGCCTTAGTGCCACAGATGTGCATGAAACTGTGTCCCCCTCAGAGGGAACGAAGGTCCTTGGGACTCAGCCTGGGCGTTAAATGATCAGGAAACTTCTGTGGCTGCCCAGAGAGCCACTTCTGCTGTATTTTCTGCCCCCTTCTCCTTCAGAATTTCAGCCATAACAGAACACTGTCTGATTTGGGGGATGGGGGGTGGGGGGTGGGGAATGGAAAGCCATTTTTCTATAATTTGTGAAGTTGCAAAAAAAAAAAAAACTGTTATCATGATTTTTACTTGTAGTATTGGAACAGTGCAAAAACAATAAAGGCATCTTCCTAATTATCAAGTCACCCTGTGACTGCTTTCAATCTCAGTGCCAGTGTGCCTTGTGTGCCCTGTGGCTAAAACCCATATCCTCTCTTTTCTTATTCAAGGTGTCTGTTTGCTAGAGAACAGACATCATTAGTGTCTCCAGTAGGTGTTGCATTTCTGCTCATTGGCTTACCAAATATGAGTGTGTACTGTGTGCCAGGCACTACAAATAGTACCAGGATTCAAGTCACAATGCCTCTTTCTTCTTGGAACTGGCAGTCTAGCAAGGTGAGCGGAGGGACAAGATTCGTGGGGTGAGGTTGGCACATTTAGTCTTATAAAGGAGTTTTGGAAGATACTTGGCAAAGGATCTTGGTATGGCCCAGGGTCAGGAAGTATGGAAGTGACATATGTTAGCACTCTACAGTACCTTGCACTGATTTTTTAAAAAATTTTTTTATTTAATTAAAAAAACTTTTAAAATAACATAATAGTTTATTTTTACAGCATTTTGTGCCTTTTCCATCTCAGTTGTAATCAGCAATGATTTTTTAAATTCTCACTACAGATAAGAAATGAAGTCAGAGTTTAATAGCTGCCCAAGGTGATGGAGGTAGGAAGTGGCAGACCTGGGAGCTGAACCTGGCAGGCTGGTTTCTGTCTCATTATCACCATCCTGGACAGTCAGCCTGGACTCCCAGAAAAGTTGACGTTTTATGGAATCCTAAAAGAGCCATCAATGTTAAGCAAAGATGGGGAGGAAGGGTGCTTCAGGCAGTGGCAGCTTATGTCGAATCCTGGAGTTCTTACTGGAGAAGGTACAAGCAGGGAGAGTCATGAAGGAAGAGGCCATGGTGAGAATTGATCCTGGAGAGGTAAGCAGGGGCCAGACCATGGAAAAACCTTAAAAGCTGTGGGCGTGGGAAAGCCCAAAGGTTTAAAGCTAGGAAATGATATGAATGGATTTGGTTTTCAGAAAAGTCACTCTGACTGGTGGTTGGAGAATGGATTTCAAATAATTTTGAGGACTAAAAGAACTAATAATACAATAGTGTCCAGCACAGAGCAAATAACTGCTGATGCAAATATTATCATCATTATTAGTTTTTAATGGCCCAACAGAGGTGATGAGCATGCAAAGGAGAAGGGCCAGAATGTAGCAGGCAAACAGTCAGCAGAGTGTCCGGGAAGCCAGAAAGGCTTGATGAGTGTGCCAAATGCTGCTGACAGTTAAATTATACCTCATATGGAATGTGGTGACTGAATACATGTGTATGTTATTAAAAATTACTATCACAATAAGATTGCTGATATAATTGGCCATATGTCTGTAAAAGTAGGTGTGGTGAGACTGTTTAAGATCTATTCTCTCAGCTACTTTCAAGGGTGAGGCATAGTATTGTTAATTATGGACATCGTGCTATGTACTAGAGGCCCAGAGTTCATTTATCCTATAATTAAACATTTGCTTCCTTTGGCTAAGAGCTCCCCACTTCCCCAGTCTGCTACCATTCTACTCTAGTTCTGTGAGTGTGGCTTTTCTAGAATCCATACAAAAGTGACATAGTACTGTATTTTTCTTAAAAAAAAAAATGACTCTTGAGAAGGATCTGTTGGACTTACTGAGTTGGAGATCATGGATGAGCTCGGTAGGAGCGATTTCAGTGGCATGTGTAGCGGATGTGGATGAGCAAATGAAATGTGCAGTTTCCAGGGTTATTTCCCTGAGGCCTGGTGACATAACTCAAGTTAAGAACCCCTGATTTGGCTTGAATCTGCTGTCGTATTAGCTCATTGCTGGAAACAGGGATGAGGAGTGGGTTTTGTTCATTCAGGCAATATGTTTTGACATGTGGGAAGGAAACTCTCGGATTCTAGAGGGTTGGACAGGCAGGAGGGAAAGCTAGGCCTCCTGAGGACTTTGATGGGCTCTGGATATTTTGCCTTAAAAAAAAAAAAACTAAAATATTTTATGACTTCACTGGTATAAAGGTGAAAATATTGCTATCAGCCCTCTGGAAGCAATGCTACTGTTGGGGACACAGCTCAGGGAGGAGTAACATGTGGACTTCCCATCGAGGGACCAGCTTCTGGGAAGTGGCCACAGTTCCAGAGCTATCAAGGTCTGCCACAAAGGGAGGTGATCTTACATGGATGGGCTTCTGGATATGTGCTTGTAAGAGAGATGTGATTAACTATAATTTCTGATTACCTTGTGCATTAAATACCAGTCTACTAAATTAAGGGTGGGAGTTTGATTTAAAGACCCAATTCAGACATTTTTCTTTAGAACATGGCTCCATCACATCCGAGTCCCTTCTTGCTGCTAAGTCCTAGTTTTGTATTGATTTGGAATCAACTGCCCTTGACCTTCTTGTTGCCATGGTGACGTGGGATGGAAGGAGATGGATTCGGTTCCTCAAAACACACACACACAAACACACACAAAACAACCAGCCAGGACCATGCCTCTCCCTCAGGCCTCTCCACAGGTCCCCCTGTTTTTCCCCTCCTCTCCATCTGCCCCACCTCAGGAGTTTTCCATTTCTTGGCCTTTGTTTTTGATTTTGTCAGTCTCTCTGCTCTGGATGGGTTTCTGTTTGTTTCAAAACTGTCTGGGACTGTGTACCATGGAGACAGTGTCCTGGGCTGCCTCTAGCCCTGATCTGGGGTTGAAATAAACCCCTCTCTCCTGCATGCATCTCAACCTGACAAATCATAACATTCTAAAGCAAGATAGAAATCATCATTACCACCTATTCCTGCCGGCACTCTTGTCCACCTGGAAAGGGTTTTTAGAAAAGTCCAGCATCCTACCACAGTGTCTATATTGTGCGGCCTAAGAAGCAACATTTATTGAATACCTACTGTTTACCAACTACTTGACCTGGCTTTGTCTGTATTAAAATTCCAGTGGTGAAGGTGATGTTTCCTGCATTCAGCTGTAAGCTGCTTGAGATCAGGGCCCAGGTAGCATTTGATTACCCAAATTGCTAAGATATGGGGAGGACTTAAGACAAGTTTGTTGGATGAAAGGATGCAAGAAATTAATAAAGGGTAATAAAGGGTAACAACTGAATGTCAGCAAAAGTGATTGAAATCAGGCTTGAGAAGAAATGCATGGATAAGGTAGTATGGATGAGAATTTCAGATGTTGTGGATATTTGTTGATAGCAGGGAGTCCCATTTGTGCACTGTCACCAAATTATCTTTTGGAAGTAGGGGGAAGAAAACAGGTGTTCTTGCGACATAGAAAAGGCTCAGACATAAAATGGTCCTGAGAAAGAATAAACTATTAATTTGATGTTTATTCATACACATGTGTAAATAGTGGCAAAACCTTTCCAAGGAACAGTTTTTAGAAATGACTTGGGGGAGGGGTAGTGAGTAAGAAGGAAACCATTGGACCTTCAAGGTCAGGAGAGCTTTCACCACGTGAGGGGGTGGGAGGAGTAAGAGAAGACTGCAGGCACTGGAGGCAAATATTGCTCAATACCCATTTGGCCAAGGGAACGCCCCAGTGAAAACTGCATGTGGTGTCGATAGACCCTTCCAGCCCTGGCAACATTGGTTGCTTCAAATTGCCCACTTGTGGGGTAGGAAGGAGACAAGCTAGTCTGAATTACTAGGAGGTATGGTTTGCAGACTGGTTTAAAGATGCAGCTATACTGTTTTTAAGCAAGCCAGCCTAACTCAGATAGGCTGGAGACACATTGCCTGTTATAGGTGTTCTAGGGATTTCAAACTAGAAGCATCAATTATGTTTATTTTGGGGAGGGGGCGCTTCGGAGTGCTTAAAAAGCATTTGTTAACTCAATTCTTTGACCACTGATTTCCTTTGGATGACATCAGTTGTCTTGGTAACCCATGGGCCATTCTCACTTCCTGGTATTATACTCCAGATTTCCTCTGGGGAACCAACCTCTTTCCCATTCTTGGTAAAACTGACTGTCCTTTATACACGCGCGCGTGTACACACACACACACACACACACACACACTACAGGGGTGGAGCAGTGGTTCACGCCTCAGTCAGTTGGCAAACTGCATTCCCTCTGGCCTCAGTGATTGGTTCAGATGAGAGCACGTGACCCAATCAGAGACTATAGGAGATTTTTGCTGGGGCTCCGAGGAAAGACTGTTCCTTCTTGCTTGGTCCTCAGTGGGGAGTCTGGCCCTTCTCTGGTCATCTTGCTGCCATGGTAATGCCTCAGAGGAAGCAAACTCAATGAAAAGCAGAGCCAAGAGAGGAAGAGAAACTGAGGCCTGATGATGTTTAAGTATTGAATCAGTCATGCCTAAATCCAGACTTTTCACTTATGTGACCAATAGATTCATTTTTATTTAACAGTTTAAATTGAGTTTTACAGCAATAAAGGGGGTGGGGGGTGCCCTTTACAGATACCCTTTGTTATCCTGGAGCTTAAGTCTTTTTGTACAAATCCTTTATTCCACATATAAAGATGTGAATTCCAAATGAGTGAGTCTAGGTTGTTTCACTGCCCTGACTCCTGGCCTATTGCCATGAGGCACCATTTTAAAAAATAAAAGGTGGACAGACATACACAAAACACTGTGTTCTGGGGTCTTCCTCAGCCTCAGCATCAAGGTGCTCCTTGGGTCAACTAGGATTCTTCTCTGAAAAGGCTTCTGGCTAGGGAGTCCCAGGGCACTCAGGCCTGTGAGCAGCAGTGGGTATGTGACCAGGGTGAGACTTAGAATACACTGAAGGGGCCTGGCCCTCAGAAAACCAGGATTTATAGCAGTAGAAGGAATGAGGGGGAAGAGGACTATTTATCAGGTGTACGGTGGTCAGGTTGAAAGAATTATCTCACTTAACCCTCACAATATCCTTGTGCTATCACCTTTATGTAATAGAAGAGACAGACATA